TACCAAAACGGGTGATATTTATAACATAGTAAAATTGACTGTCAATTTGATTGGACAAATCTTTCAACATTAAAAGGAGAATTAAGAAATTGAAAATAAATGTACAAATACATCATTATCTAAATTCTCCCATAGACAATTTGTAACAACCTAGGGCCGAAATCGTTATCTTACGGACTGTCCGCTCCGGGGTGGGCTTCTGCCCACTTATCCCCTCACGGCTTTCGACGCGTCCCCCAGGATTCGAACCCAAGACCTCCATCATATGTGAGACTTAAGTTGAATCCTGGTACCAATTGGGCACTTATCCTCTCACGACTTTCGACGCGTCCCCTAGGATTCGAATCCAAGACCTCTATCATATGGGAGACTTAAGTTGAATTCTGGTACCAATTGCGCAACTTGCCCAATTGGTACCAAGATTCAACTTAAGTCTCCAATATGATGGAGGTCTTGGGTTCGAATCTTGAGGGACGCATCAGAAAGTCGTGAGGGGTAAGATGGGCCTAGATTCTCCCGAAGCGAACAGTATGTTAGATAACGACCCGACCTCTCACCGGAGCCGTTATTTTACGTACTGTCTGCTTCGAGAGAGCTTAGACCCATCTTACCCCTCAAGGCTTTCTGACGCATCCCCCAGATTTCGAACCTAAGACCTCCATTATATGTGAGCTTTAAGTTGAATCCTGGTTCCAAACTCAAGATCTCCATCATATGGGAGACTTAAATTGAATCCTGGTGCCAATTAGGCAACTTGCCCAATTGGTACCAGAATTCAACTTAAATCTCCCATATGATGGAGGTTTTGGGTTCGAATCCCGGGGGATACGTCGAAAGCCATGAGGGGTAAGATGGGCCTAAACTCTCCCGAAGCGGACAGTACGTAAGATAACGGTTTCGGTGAGAGGTCGGGTTGTTATAAAAAAATGCGCATTTTTTTGTAACGACCTAGGTCTCTATACCCAAGTCGTTATCATATCATACGTACTGTCCGCTTCGAGAGAGTCTAGGCCCATCTTACCCCTCACGGCTTTCTGACGCATCCCCCAAGATTCGAACCCAAGACCTCCATCATATGGGAGACTTAAGTTGAATTTCGAATACTAGGGGACGCGTCAGAAAGCCGTAAGGGGATAAGTGGACAGGAGCCCACCCAAGAACGGACAGTATTTAAGATAACGGCTCCGGTGAGAGGTCGAGTCGTTACACAATTCGAACAAAAATTCAAAAAATAATTTATTTAGATGTATTTACTAATCAAAGAGATTAACAATATCTCATAAACTTTAAATGCTCCAACTCAAATTAACATTTTGAAGCACAATTAGTTAATATTATATTTGATAAATTTGTGACACGCTTGAAACGTGATGAAATTTGATTCTAATACAAAAAATCTCCCAATGAAAATTGAACAAATAGTAAAAAAGATCTCATTAAAGTGACATATATTTTTGATAAGTATTTAGACATGACAAATTATAAAAACCCATAAGAGGTTCTAGTACCTGATATTAAACAAGTTAAGTTGTTATGAGGAAAGAAATAGAATCGAAAAAGAAAAAGTTGTCAAAAATACTTTTTTACATGATGTATTGCATCATATAGAAAGAAATCAAAATAAATGCTTCGAAATATATCGATCGAAATAATAATTGGCCAAATAAAAGGGATGCAATCCTAAATTGAATTTACTAGAAAAATCCAAAACTTCTGGACTTGCAATCCGAAAATCTAAAGGTGCATTCCTGTGCGAAAAGAAAATGAGAAGAATAAAGTCATAATATGTAGTGTTCAACTTTCAACATAGTAATTTCGTAAAGATCTTGATGGATGAAATCACGAGTCATATCACGTTATCTCGATGATGCACAAAAAATGAAATATGGTATAGTCAACTTATCTATTATGATTATTAAAGTTATTTTTTGAAGAATTTAATATGCTTGAAGCATAATTCAAGTGATATTATCATGACTGAGAGTAAATATGTGTTGTACTCTTTTTTTCTTGATCAAGGTTTTGTTCTATTGAATTTTTTCATGGCAATGTTTTTAACAAGACAACTTTTGTAGCGTATTTAAAAGCGTAATGTACTCATTTTCTTTCATTGAGATTTTTTCCACATGTCAATTACTCTCAAAATAAGACTCGTATATGTATGAGATTCTCGAAGAGATCAATAAGAACTATTTTTCGAATTATCACATTACTGCAATTATCAAGTTTTGTCCCACTAAATTTTCTTGAAAACTTTGACGTCCAAGATATCAATATTGAAGATATTGATATACAAGGCATAAATTGTTTGATACAAGAATTGAATATGGGAGTAGTAGTACTCTTTTTTCTTCAATCGAGTTTTATTCCACTAGATTTTCTCGACAAGGTTTTAATGAGACATCATTTTTTGCTTCAGATTATATGTATTCTTTTTTCATTTGTTTAACATTTTTGTCAAATCGAATTTTGGCCAAATAATATTTCAATGAGAAAGTTATCATGTAAATAGATAATCAAGGAAGAGTGTTGTAAATATGATAATATTTATGAATGACTTTGATTGTTGTATTACTCGTAACTCTAATTTTTACTTATAAATATAGAATTTTTATTGTTTATAAAATACACAAATTTATTTCCTTCTTTGTTTTCTTCTCTTTCTTTGTCTACTTTTATAACATTTTCACTTTTCTGGTAACTTTTTTCGTTTTTTCCCCCACTTTTTAGTTTTTAATCATATCAAAAAATCACTTTTCAGCAATAAATTCGCTTAGCCTATTGCCATACAATGATGTTCACTTGTTTCTTCACAAGGGTTTAAGAACTCACTGGCACAGTACGAACTGACAGCGATCGAGAATTTAGGGCCACTGCATGTTGCGATGGAGACGAAGAGGGTTCGATTGGTGTTCAAAAATGACGAGATTTTGAAAGAAACACAGAAATCGGATGGCTTGAATCGATGCTGGGTTTTGTTGAAACCCGATCAACACAGGACAATCGCCGATATCGCCTCTCACCTCCTCCAAGCTTTCCAGCTCCACCAGTCCTGTCCCCATGGCCTTCTCCTCTCTGTAATATTCCGTTCTTATTTGTTAATTCTGTGTTTTGGGTTCCGTTGAGTGACCGAATTGGGAATGTGGTACTTTGATTTTAGCGATCATTTTATTATGTGGCTTTTCAGAGGGGATGCTGTTGGTACATTTTACAAATATCTGATGCTTATTGCTGGGGTTTTTTTCGTTTATGTATTTTTTCCTTTTATGTTTGATTATTTGCACAAGTAAATTCTTGCATGCTATTAAAAAAAAGAAAAAGAAAAAGAAAAAGGTACTTACTTTTTTCTTGGTGATCCTCCGAATAACTGAAACTGCCTTGCCCTAAAAAATAGTATATTTGAGTTCTTTGAGTGGCAAAACCTTGCTGATTTTATGATCTTTGTGGTCATTTGCTGGTGTGCGTATGTTTATTATTTACTCTTTTCTTGCTGGGGGTTCAACTCTCGTGGTTAAATTTTATTGGAGCGAATGAGATGTCCAATGTTTCAAAAAAAATAAAAAATAAAAAAAAAATGCAATGGGGGTATTTCTATGTAAGAATTCATTTATCATCGCGGATACATAACTGCATTGATACCAAGTACAGGAAAAAAAAACCAGTAGAATGCATTTTTTGTTTCTCAAAATCAACTGGACTATTGTTGAGATTGATTGAAATAAAAACGTTTTGGCTTTGGTTAATAGTTTTTCTTTGTTGTTGGGTGTTATATTATTAATTCTTACTAATTTCATGCAGATGGACGGATTTGTGTTGCCAACTTATGAGTCAACTACCATTTTGAAGGATAAAGATCTAATCAGGTTAGTTTAGCTGTCTAATCCTTTGCGGAAGAAATTAAAACTGGTAGCATTACGTTTTACCATTTTGCATTTACAAAAGTATGTCATTTACACGTGTTATTTTTCACATGTGGTGTCAGAGTAAGGAAGAGAGAGGATGCTTTGTTTATAGAAGGACATAATGCTGCTCATTCAGTCAAGAAATTGAAAGCTTTGGAAAAGCAAACTGTAAATAGCAGTTTCTTGCTTTTGTCAAATTTGGAGTTTGAGAAAGGAAAACAAGTTTGTGAGAGTGATGACTCTGAAGAGAAAGATGACCTGTTGGAAAATGTGGAAAATCCACCCGCTGTAAATGCAGATTCCAAGAGGCGAAAAAGAAAAGCATCAGAGAAACTTCTGTGTTCCATGTACGTTATAATCTATGCTATCTTGCTCGCGTCTTATTATGGAATTCTTCATGTTATACTTTTGTTTGCAGATCTATGCCTTGATGGATTTGTAAATTAAAAACTTTGTGATATATAGGAAGAAAAAACAACGTTCTGAGGCTCCTGAAACTGTTCTGAGCGACGGTCATGTTGGAAAGATTGAAAACCATCAGCAGGATGAAGTTCCTACAAGACAGAAGAGCCTTTCACAGGTGGAGAAGAAATCTGATTCTAACGACAAAGAAAATGAGGAAAAGAATCAGGAAAATACTAAATTAAGCGATGACAAAGATGATTCTATGCCCAGCACAAAAAGGTAGGTTTCTTCATAAGATAGTCTCTCCCTTTTCAAGATGATGTTCCCTGTTTATTGTTTAACCTTTTACGTTTGGCTTTGACCGGCTAAAATACAAGAAAACGTCCTTAAAATTCTTTCTATTTTTATACGCAATTAGAATTTTACAAACTTGCAGGTCTTTGACCTATTATGAATAAACGTGAATTTCCTCTTGAATTTTTGATTGAGGTCTAGAGATCATCCTGTAAAAAGCTATTGCCAATATTGTTGAACGAGAATCTTTGTCAACAGCTGTCACTAACAATACCAAGAAGCCAGTTTTCATTCTTCTCTCTTTTAAAAGGGACTAATCAGGACTGGGCATAGATAGAGGCCAGAGAAATGAACTTGAAGAAGTGCCCATGTATTGACTGGTGCAGGGTGCTATTATTACCTGAAATTAAATTTTCCCAGTGGCTATTTCCCTTTAGGAATCAAAACTCAAGATCTGTTTCTTCTTAATATCATAAGCGCATTTGGACAAGTAAAAAAGTAGTTTAATCAAGTGAATGGAAAACTGAATGATGGGCTTTAGATATCAGTGTATATGGGTGCATTGGAGATGCCAAAGAACTAATTGAATATCCAAATTTGCTTGACTTGGGGTTTAAGGAAAGAATTCTAGGTACATACTCTTTCCTCAGTATACCATCTTTATCCCTTAATACGTGACTTTAAATAAGCTGAAACGTCGGACCTACTGGAATTAGACAAAGGGAATATGAGTTGGGCCATGTATCTGAGTATTGAAATGAAAATATTAGTAAATAACAACTTGGAAATGGCACTACAAGTGCAGATGTGCCTACTTAAGGAATGTGTACCAGTTTGAGAGATCCCGTGGAGAAAAAAACATTTGAAGAGGGGAGTATATTTTGCTTGGATAGAAGATCTTGTAATTGGGCTTTTAACATGCATCTGTATCAGTTTTATTTCTACAAGCTTGTATTTGATAGCCACTTGACAACCTTTTCTCTTTCACTAAGCACTAATGACATCCCTAATTTTTGCTGTCTGAAGAAATGCCTCATTGGAATATTAGCTGCGAAATTAATAAATTATGTTTTAGTTACCTTATTATTGTGCTACAATATCTCCTTTAAATGTTTAAGCATGTATAATGCATCTTTAAATACCGACTGTTTCTAACATCACTTCTTTTCCTTAGTAATTTCTTAACTTTCTTTTGTGTACGTGTTTGTAGAAGTTTGGAGCTTCAAGAGAATGGCAAAGAAATCAAGGATGCCAGCCATGAAACTAAAAAGGTCCATTTTAAGTACAGTATTAATATAAAATATATTGGTCCTGTAAGCTTTAGACTGCCCTTGTATATATTTATCAGAAGTATTACTATATAGCAAACTAAATATTGAAAGATGCTGCAGTCTTTTTATGGAAATTGCAGAGAGGTTGATACGTGGAAATTCTTATCAAAACTAAATTATTTGAGGAGCTTCTATGTATTAAGGAAACTTATGTTTTTCCGGAAAGTTCTGTTCTACTTGTTTAGCATGTGCATCCAGTCTTTTATATTATTCCAAACTGCCCATTTTGCTCAGCTCAGAATGCAAAATCCTGTAAGCATTCTTGTATGATTGAGATTAAGTTTTTTGAGGGCATTGACTTAAGCAGCATCACCAATCCCTGTTCTTTATTACTAATTTAAATTTTGATACGAGTTGTTCTGCTTTTATATTGGATCTTTTCACTTTCTCCCCTCTTGAAGGAACAACCTACAGATCTATATGGATTGTTCTGTATATTTGCAGGTTCCAAGTAGATGTGCTAGGAGGAAGCGTGCTAAAAGGCAATGGTTGCGTGAAATGGCTAAAATTCAGAAGAAAAATGCTACTTCTGAATCAGAAAGTCTTGTAAGCTGTCAAATGTGTAAGACTCTTCCAACATCACTAACCTGACTTGTATTGGAAATTGACTACCTCAAATTTACAGAGAAATTGGAAAGAGGATCAAGCTAAAGCTGAAAGAAACAAGGCGGATGGCCAACCAAGAGGAGTGGTGAGTTATCTTACTCTCCTTAACCAACTATGATGATATGCACAAGAATATTAAATCCCTGAATTTCACAGGGACATTGGAAAAAAGACCCTGCTAAATCTGAACTAAAGGAGGTGGATGGCCAAACGAAGGGACTGGTGAGTTATCAGTTTCTTGTTAAATCTAAGTATGTTTAATATTGACATAAAGTCTCAATACGCAGCTCAATTGGAAGCAATATCCTGGAAGTAAGACGCCTAACAATATGGAAAAATATCAACAACAAAATCAAAATATAAATGCACATGAACACTCAAATAGAAATGGTGATACATCTTGGCATTCAAATCAATATAGTGATGAGGAGGCTGAAGCTGTTCCTGTTGTAGTAAGGCCGGGGCACATCCGGTTTGGGATTGTGGGGAAAGGTTAAACTCTCTCTCTCTCTCTCTCTTTCACTCTCTCTCACACACACACACGATAATATATCATTTTAGTGTTTGTGATTAAGTGTGCATATGCTGATGTTTCAAGTGAATTGTTATTAAGAATTTTAGCTGATTGACTGAATTATGCTTTCCCTATTTTAAATGATAGATGGGTATTTGCATAGCGTTTTAGTTGGCTTGTGTTTCAGTTCTGAGCCTAGCAGTGAGTTCAAATGCTCCATTGGGAAGAATTTATAAACAGTTTAATTATAAATAGGTAGAAATGAGTGGTAGATGAGTAGGTAGTACTTGTGGGTCCATTGAAATTTGTGGTTGAAAATAAAGTTCGAACATTTATAAATTTTGCTAAACGGAGGCTAAATATTTCATTTACAATCAGATCTGCGAATTTGATTTTTGTGTCTCTTCTCATTTAGAAATGGACAAGGACTTAATCTACATTGGGAGCCTTTCCCTGTTATTAATGACTGTTTTGTTAGCAGACACAATTACGTAAAGAAGCGGAATATGCAACTAGGCTATCCTGATTCACTTCCATGTAGAATCTTAGGTTACTCATATATATTACTGTTGTTAAGATAATGTTGCAACATTGTTTTATTCCATTCATGTTTTTTACTTCACAATTGGAATGTTCATGTTCACATTTTGGAATTGCGTGATTCCAGCATGATGCACTGTTCAGAGTTTTGATCTATGAACATATTTTGAATATGCAGAACCAGCTGTGCCTAAAAGTCAAATACCGGTGGTATGTTTCTTCATGTAACATTATGATGCATATTACATTCAACATTGCCGGTCTTTTTTGTTTTTCTTGTTGATCAAAATTACTTTTTCTTGTTTAATCGCTTATACTTCAAACATGGTATAAGCTTAGCCTTTATATCCAATTGTCTTTTTTCTTTTTCATTGCGGACCCATTGTGGTTTACATTGATATCAGTAAGCATAAAGTTTATCTTAAAGTTAAAGACTATATTTTTTTTCCTACTTTGCAATTCCATTAATGTTAGGTCATCTCAATTGGTGCCACATATCCTCTGAGGAAATTTTGAGTTTTCCTTCAGGAAAAAACCCAATGGAATGGAATTACCAGCAAGAAGGGCCAAAAATGGGGTACCACAAAATGTTCATTCACCCAAAGAAATGATTGTAAAGATTCAAACAAAGAGTGTTCTGAAACACCGAATAATGAAAAAGAGACATTGTCATATACAGGAATTGACTTTGATAACCTTCAGCCCCTTTGTAGCATGCCCAAGGTATATTCTTCTTAATATACAATTTCACGATTTACTACCATCAGTGTTTTAAGTTACATTTTTTTACAAAGATTGGGTAGTAAGATTTAAAATCAGATATGGAAATATTATTCTAGTTTTCAGACCATCGCGTGAAGCTTATGATGCATGTTGCACAAGGAAAAAACTTGTGTAACTCATCAGTGTCAAATATCTTCTTATTCATTTTGCAGGAAGGAGATGTGATTGCATATCGAACTCTGGAGTTATCATCATCCTGGATCCCTGAGCTTTCACCCTATCGAGTATAACAGATTCTAATAAGAATTTGAGCAAAAAATTTGCTTAAACGCAAATAACAGTATTTGCTTTTTAACATTTTACCTTCTCTTTAGGTTCGAAAAGTATCATGGTATGATGCTGGATCTGGTCAGATTACGCTGATACCGGTCTCAGAATGCCCAGTTGGATCCAAGAAGTTAGATGATGATGAATCTACAGAGCCAGATAACTCCCTTCGCAAAGAAGATGAAGAGGTGGAGGTAACCTAATCAAATTGCAATCCTTCTTCAAGTGTAGTTCTTCTCAAGGCTTCTTCCGTTAGAACAAAAGCTTGCTTCTTGGATTGTTTGTTTTAATATAGTTTATCTTGAGCAGATTGATTTCTATTCACTTGTTGATGTCCGTATAGTAAAAGGTGGCAGTTCAGGACCAATAAATTTAGCTCCTAGTTTTGTAAATGGAAGTCCCGTGGGCAATAAAAGTGCTGCAATTACTGTATCGTCAAGCAGTAATAATAAACAAACAGTTGTCCCCAGCCAAGGTATTTATGTTTGTTCACCGCTACACTTTATAAGAATAATTTACTTGTCATTCATCCTTTCATTGTTCCTTCTTTAGAGAACGAAGGAGCAAACAACGGTAAACAAACACAAGCTCCTGAAGCAGGTACTTGATCTTTTCACTAATGCCTGAAATTTGATGTAATCTATTCAGACAGCTTGATAAAGGTTTATATAATTGTAGAGAGGGGTGGTGTAAGCGCTTGGGACATATTTTTGACTGAAACTTTACCTGCCGCGGAGGAACAATCATCAGATAAAAATAGCTGGGGCAAGAGTGCCAAGGTACAACATTTTGCCAATACTGTACAACCACAGCACGAAGATGGCTGGACCAAGAATGCCAAGATACATTCAACATGGGAACGTAGCTGGGGCAAAAATACCAAGTCGGTACAACCACAGCATGAAAATAGCTGGGCTAAGAATGCCAAGAAGGTACAACCACCAGGGGAAAATAGTTGGGGCAAGCAGAATACAGGCCGAAAACCATGGTCATTTAAAAGTTCAAGAGGTGGTGCACATGGCTCAACTATGCCTAGATGGAAGAATGGGAACTAGTTCAAGGTATTCATTCTTACAAATTCTATGTTCTATCTTGTGTTTTTGTAATCCTGCCGTAGAAAATGACAATATATACTCCCAATGTAGTACATGGGGATCTTCTTCGAATCTTACCCCCTGTTCGGAATTTTAAAACAGCTCCGTCTTATTTATTTTTGTTAGTTAAACCTCTTATGAAAGAGGTGATTAAACTTGTGTAATATTAGCATGCATGTCCAAAACCTTTCTATGCCTTGTGTTCGCTCTGCTTTGAAATTTGATGGATTTGCATGTTAATGGAATGCATATTGCACAAGGAACAACCCCTGCCCCTACTCTGCCGTTAATCAGACAAGATTTTCATATTTTTCACTGTGATAGATAATTAAGAATAGAAGTTTTTCTCTACTGTAATGAAAGTCTAATAGTTCTTTTCTCAAAATGGCAAAACTGTGTTCCTGTCTAACAAACTGGTAAACCTAGTAGTCTTCGAATGCTCTATTTGTTTTTATTAAAAAGAAACACCTTTGGTGCTGAATGTTGACATGTTCTGAGGCACAACAATAATGTGGAATTGTACACTTATTCTGAGGGGATTCTGTACTCGTAATTCCTAACATTGTAATCAGAAACTTATTCCCTGTACAAGTTCTTTTCTTGGATTAAATTTAAGTTTGCTAGCATCTCACGAGTAGAACCTGGACTCGTACTGCTATGGGATGCCAACTCATTTCATTGGAGCTGCAGACACGTTCCGAAAATTAATGACGCTCTTATTCAGATTTACTCGATCCACTGTTGAAGTCATTTCTTAACGAAGAAAGATGTTCGATGAGATGTGCTGGTTCCTGACCTTCCTCGATTATCTGAAATTCCACGAACACATGCAAATACAAGAGTTTAGGAACTGCACATTTGAAATGGAGACAATCATATAAAAGAGCACACAAGCTGCGACAAGAAGAATTACAATCCCTTAATTGCTGATAGAACTAGCAAAATGTTACTTAGACACTGATAAATGCATTAGCCTGATGGTATGTTTGGCACACAGTAGTGCACAGGACAAGATAATGCAATAGATAAGATTTGAACTTCTTTTTCTTTCTTACTGTTATCTGGTGCCACCCAAACCACCTTGATAAACAGTGTCATAAAGTGATCGTTTGTTAAACAATTTTAGTTGCTGCTTCTTCAAGCCTATAGTCTGAAGTTCTCATTTTCGCGCTTTCACCTAATGCCTTGAAAATAGTATGATTCTCGCATTTACAGATCTAGCCTTCAACATGACTGCAACAATTCAACTATAAAGTTCGTGTACATACCTTAATTTGAGCATTTGTATCGAAACCCTTCTCAGCAAGAAAACTACGACCAATGTTCTCCATATGGGCAGGACTATTTTTGCATTTGCAGTCATCAATCGACTGATCGTGTCCTCTATTCTGTGATACTTCATGCCCCATCCATATGTATAAAACATCGGTATTTTTCCCCTCAGAACTCACTGAGGGCACAAGGATGATGTAAATGGATCTGGAATCTAAGATGACACAAGGTGTGTCCATTTTATCCATCGAAGGCCACTGGTAGAATAATGAGTCGGTTGGTTGTGCTATTCTATTGGTCATATCATTCGACATCAGCTCAAACGTGTTGCACGCTATGTAATCTTGTAATCGACTTGGGAGTTCATATTCAGCCGCATGGTCGTTAGAATCTGATATTGGCTCTTCTGTGTCCATCTCAAAAGATTCCTCGTGTCTTGAGGTGCTGCATTCGACGTCCCTCATTATATCTTCCATGCAAGGAAGAGACTTCGAAGAGTTTTCCAGAATCTGAGATACCTCATCAACAGAGGGCAACATCATACGAGGAGGTCGAATGTTACCTCTACGTTCTGCAATGTATAGTGAAGGTTCTTTACAAGACGAACAACTGCCTGTTTCTCTAAAAATGCGACCAGCTGAAAATGTCTCTTCCGGTGGAGGGGAAGTTACTTTATGAAGCAAACATTCACTTTCCTCCGCAGAACCAACCTTATCAAGATCGGGATCTTTATATTCGAGTCTGGAAGGTGAAGTCAGGGCCGAGAAATATGGTAAGTCGGACCAGTTAGATGATGAGGGTGAGAAGGTAAATGAACTCGAATAATCAGAGGTTGAAGGTGAGAGTGCTGGAGATGTTGAACTGGACTTCAGTTTATTAACGAGACGTGAAGAAAAAGAATCCAGTGTACTGAATAAAGGTGATGGTGACAAAGATGTATCGGTAGGACGAGCCAAGCATTCCACTTCTTTAAAGTTAGACTTCATCCAACCCGGACTACTTGTTGAATAAGCAGCAAAGGAATCCGGTGGTGATTCGCACTGAGGACTGGAAGGCATTGCAAGATCAGGAGGGAAAAAGTCTTCAACTTCTTTACAAGATTCTATCATATCCAGGTCATCACATGTTTGGGTCGTGTTGTAGTTCAATCTAGACGAGGATATAAATTCTTTCACAATACCACTGGAAAACTGCCTTTTCAATCTGCTCCAGCCATTTTCTCTAGCCGGAAGACATGTCTCGGATTCTGTTCCCGATAATGGAAAAGGCGGAACGACCCCACCGGAAAGTGCTTTCTGGAAGATCTCAAAATCGACGTCATATTCATCAACCTTCCTCTGACCAATACATTGATGAGGGGAAGAAATAGTGTCAGCCTCGGGAGATGACTCATCTGCTAACTGTTTCTCATAGCCGAAAGCATCCCACAATTCAGACGTCTCCTCACCTTCTTTGATGGTTTTAATGGGACCCTGGGCCCTTTCATAACGAATAACTTGAGAGGCAGCTGCAGTGGCATTATCCGACATCACAGAGAAGCAATGCTTTCCAGTCCAGACAAATATAGCAGAAGGAATGTGAATAATGAATGACCCGCGAGAATCGAGTCTGTTTGCTCCCGGCTCAATCAACATCTTTGGTACGAGATGAAGGGGATCATACGGGGAGTGGGGCGCCATTCGATACATCCTAAGAACAGAAGTGGGGCTTACAGGCTGAGCATGTACCCGTTTCTGGCACAGCAACAGTTGGCAAGCAAATCCCATATTTGGATTAGTCACTCCTCTGGCTGCTTTAACATGCTGGAATGCATCCTCAAAGCTCTGCACCTCTTTCCACATAAGATACGCAATGACCAAAGAGGTTGATCGAGACACCCCCTTGCAACAATGAACAAGAACACGCCCACCTTGTTCTCGCACATCTTCAAAATAATCGAACACATCATACAGAATACTTGTAATATCCTCTGACGGGCTGTCCCGGAGCCAAAGGGTCTTATACACGAGCTCATTCTTGAAATATTCAGGACAAACGAACCCCACACAGTTCAACACATGGGTAATTCCATTCCGTTGGAGAATTTCATGACTCTTTGCAATAACATCGCTTCCCAAATATATGTGGTCCAAAATCCTTGAGCATTCCTTATCAAAGAAAGCGAGTTTGTCTTTCTTGAATTCAAATTCTCTTGGAGGTTGATCTAAACTCATATTTTCACGGGGTGCCATCGATCCAAGCCTTGCACCGGGAGTTGAGGGATTTGGCCAAACGCCAAGGTCGTCTGAGCCAGCTCTTGGCCACTCCTCAATGCTCGGTCTTGTGGTCAAGAGAGGATGAAGGGGCGGCAAACAAGCCCGAGCCTTGCTGTTCCATTGTGGCCTATAATTTGACTTTCTTGGTGATCGATCACTCCATGAAACTGACCGTGAGTATGTTTTCCTATTAGCGCTCGGTGGCTGATCCTTATCCTCTTCCTTAAACATTTCAAAAGCTAAACTACCACCCTGTAAAACCAGTTAAACCCATTTGAGGATTTTTTCAAGAAACCCCATATCAAACATCAAAATTAACAAAACTTTAATTGAAATTTAACTATCTAAATAAAAAATTTCTAAGAAAAATACCAATCCAGCAAAATTCTAAAGACTAAACATCAAAACTCAAAATTGTTTTCAAAGAATTTCATAATTCGAATATACACACATGATGATTCTTCAAGGAAACTATCAAATATATAATTACAATTCAGATATTGCTGCTATATTCTTACCTAAAACCCTTGACTTCTTTCTCTGTACATAAATAAAAGAAGAAATCAAACGCAAATATGACCGAGTGAACTCCCATAAAAACATAGCTATCATGGTGGGACATATTTTCCACATAAAGAACCAAGAATAATAGAAAAAGTGCATGGAAAATTCAATTCAACCATATAATACTTTCAAGATTTGCATTGACAGAAAAGAAAAAAAATACTTACACGAAATAGTTTATTGATTATAATTATAATTATANTTTATTGATTATAATTATAATTATAATTGTGATTATGAAATATATATAATTGCAGCAGTCAATATGAATGATCAATGCGTACAACAAAGAATACCCGTTCAAAGGGTCCTTTGAATGTTTTTAGAGAATGAGAGTCGTAGCCTCGCAGGTAAGCCAGACAAAGTGTAAAGGACAGATTTGGCAATTTAATAGATATGGAACGAGAGTTGGTCAAACTCCCACGTCATCATGAGATGACCTATTAAGAATTTTAAAAGGGTTTTTCATTAATTTTTTAAAAGTTTTTTTTTTAAAAAAAATACTATGAGTATGTTTGTATCCGATTAAAATCTAATTAAAATTGAAAATATGACTATTATTGGGTCTCACTTATCTAATAAAAATCAACAATAACGGATAGTTTTTCAA